CTTTCATCTCCTTTAAAACAAGGACCGAGAAAGCTTTCCGGTTTTGGTTGAGTTCTGCACGAGAAGAGAATGTAATGTCAAAAACCTTCTCGCAAAAGAACCGCATGGGAGCAAAAATATTGAGAACAGTTTGGACGGGAACAAAACGCGAACAAAAGTTTCGGGAACGTTTCCGTAAATAACAAAATGCGAACAAAACTCTCGGGAACGTTCCCAAAAAGAGCCAAACGGGAAGAAAACTCAAAAAGGTTGGGAAGGAGGACAGAAAGTATCGAGAACGCCTCAAATAAGAAAAAAAGTCTGGGCAACCTTCTCCTAGAGAACACAACGATAACAATAGAACTTTAACTTTGAGAACGATAGGGGATTCGTTTCAGTAAGAACCATGATAGCTAATTTAAAGCCAGATGGCTTACCATTAGGGTGAATTGTCCATTTATGGAACAATTTTTCATTTTTGTGCCAGAAAAGTTCGTGTCTTAAGTCTTTCGTTTACTTATAATAATACATAATAAAAGATTGGGCCGTATGAATAAAAACTAGGCAATTAATTTTTTCTTAAAATTTCAGACTACTCGATTTATTCCAATAAATTTAAGTAATATGTCTGAAATTTTACGAAGAAGCCAAACATGTTAGTGTTCGACCGAGCTTCTCCTCTGATTTGGCGCCTTGATGTCACACAAAGTTTTCCACCGTCTTCGACCGACGATTGTATTTTTATGAGACGCTGTTTTTCATGGCAGAATACACGCAAAGGTTTGCCATAGCCTGCCGAGGGGCGACCGCTAATAGAAAAAAGCTTTTTATGTTTTATTTCTTCATTTTGTTCTCGCTTCCATTCTTCGCGAATGGTTCAGATAACATTTGTTTCCGTTTCCCTCTCTGTCAGAACGTTGCTGAGATTTTGGTTCCCAAATTTATGTTCGAAAGAAAGTTCCTTAGACTTTTGTTGCCGTTTTGTTTTTCGCCAGAACATTCCGGATAACTTTGTTCTCATTTTGCTCTCTGCGAAATGTTCTCGAATGTATTGTTCGCATTTCCTTCGCTTTGGAAACGTTTTTTGCCAGAAGGTTTCGGAGACTTTTGTTTCCGCTTGTGAAATTTTAATTTTGTCTCCCACTCCAATAAATATGTTATTTGTTTGAATATCTAGGTATGCTAAATTAAATGCATCTTTGGTTCTAGCACGTCGAGATTTTTGTATGTATGTATATTTTAGGATTTTTGGAAATTACGAAACATAACAACAACCACACGGGAGAAAAGTTCAGAACTAAAACTATGAATTCGCCTTAAGCGTGATTTCTCCTTTTTAGAACAGCTGTGAAAATCTCCAAACATCAATGCCAAGGCGAATTTATATAAGGTGGTGTTACTAGCTCAGCTGATTTTGTGTATGTGTTTCGCCGCACGGCTTCTGATATCAAATTGAAAAATTTTGTTTGAATTTCTACACACACTCTTACAGATTTTGACAGTTTATGGCGCCAAAGCAAAAACAAAATACATGTAAATTTTTGTTTTTGTACTCCTGCTATCACCTTACACCTTATATTAATTCGCCTTGATCAATGCAATCCTCCTTAGACTTTAATGTCAGAAATAATTTAAATTGTTTCGAATTTTAAAAAATGCACGCACGTAAAAACTTCTGCTGTTGGCAAAAAATTATTTTTTCACACATAAATCCTGCATAAAATGACTTGCACAAAAATCAGACGCGAGCTCAAGTGCAAATTTCCACCATGTCCATGTCAAAAGTGCTCAAAATTTCGCGGTGATAATGGCATCGGTCCAAATTCGACAAACAGTTGTTCTGATATTCCACCAGAGCGGCCAATTCCGAAATATAAATTTCAGTGCAAATGCCCTTTTGAACCGGAAATAATTGGCCCAAAATACGAAAGAAAATGTCCACCACCGCCGCCGATACGGACGCAGTTCAGACGAAGCACCGATCCCAAAGGAAATTGCCCGGAAGATGATTGTAATACGGGCAAAGGTTGTTGCAATACCGGACGCAATTTTCTAACTTTCATGATAAACCTGATCGGTTTTGTTGCGTAAGCTTGGCTTTACATATGTACATACATATGTAGGTACATACATAAGTATCAGTGCATATTGTTATCCTTTGCAGATTGGTAATTATATGGGCTATTGCATTTTGGCTTTGCGTGTTTCAATGGACAGTTATCTTAAGCTTCAAAGTTTATAATTCAGACAGGTATTTATGAATATATATGTATAACCTTTGAAAAGATTTAGCTAATTTTTGCAATTTTTAGGACTACACAAGTCGCAGTTGCGGCTGTAATTATTATACTATTCCTACTGATTCTGTATTCTGCCGCATTGAGAGCAATTAGAAGGGCTTTTTCTAAGCCAAAAGTAGACAAGCTACCACCCGCACGTGCACCTTCTCCGTCTCCACAAAAATCACCAAAAATTGAAAAAACTTCCAGTATGTTTTCTTGGAGCTGGAGTCGAACGAAAGAAAGCACAAAACCTCATACATCCTTGTTGCCTTCGTTTAGACGGGATACTGTACAAAAAAACGATCAAATGTCTTCCTCTTGGATGTCTTTTTTTACTTGGGGTCGATCGAAAAAAATAGAGGCGAAGCCAGAAACACACTCCTCTTGGATGCCTTCATTCAGATGGACACAATCCAAGCAGAAAGAACTTAAGAAGCCTGAGGCGCGCTCTTCTTGGATTTCTTTGATTAAATGGCATCAGAAAGAAATTGAGCCGCCAACAAAACAGTCCTCTTGGGTGACTTCATTCAGATGGACACAATCCAAGCAGAAACAAGTTCAGAAGCCTGAGGCGCGCTCTTCTTGGATTTCTTTGATTAAATGGCATCAGAAAGAAATTGAGCCACCACCAAAACAATCCTCTTGGCTGACTTCATTTTCATGGTTTCATTCAACGTCGAAAGCAACTGACAATTTATTCAAGAAACCTGAAACTCGTACCATTTGGTCACCCTGGACATTTGATTGGTGCCATTGTGCCTCGTACAAGAAAGATAGTTCTTCCTCATGGATGCCATCGTTTATGTGGGGTCAGTCAGCGCCTAATAAGAAGACTCCTAGTAAAAGAGCTTGCAACAGATCGCCTGACGAAATGAAAAAACAAAAAGTTACTGTTACCATAACCGATGAAGAGGCACGTCAAATTTTCAAACAGTCGAAACTGTATGCGATACCAACAGAAATGAAACAACCGCCGGCCTTGATAATCTATTTAAGAGATTTGATACAAAGGAACACTGATTAATTTTTTAGTCTCAGGAAAAAAAAAATTTTAAATAAAATGTGTGCAACTTAGCAAAATTCTTAAGTTAAATAAATGTGTAAATTTGTATTGTGCAAAATTATTTAATATGAAAAAAATTTGCCTTAAAGCCGCATTTTTCACTTTAATGAAATAATCAAGGCGAATTAATATAAGATGATAGCAGCAGTACAATGACAAAAATTTACATGTATTTTGTTTTTGGTTTGGCGGTATTAACTGTCAAAATCTGTACGAATGTGTGTGGAAATTCAAACAAATCCCTGCAGCGGAAAGTACTAATACATAACTAGTGAATTCACTAGTTTTTGGGAGTCTATAACCGGTACCTCGCAAATCAACCACCCATGCTTTCTTCTGTCGCATTTATTAATATGGAGTTGTCCTAGGAGGTGACAATTGACTCCCGCTGCGTAACTTTGCCCTAGTACTTGTAGTAGTAACATGTAGCCTGTAACCGAACCGCGTTTTTTCTTTTCTTTTGAGGGCCGCCAGATGGCGCTTCCGTACATTTTTTTTTGGTACTAACGCATTTTTCCGAAAATCGACAACATTGTTGCGAAAATCCACGAAATTTGACTTTCTGATAATGCAATTTAAATTTTTAAATAGCCTAAAATGTTCAGCGTTAATGACAGAAATGGATTCCTCGACCCCAAAAACCTCCAGATACACATTTTCGCTAGTTTTCAATACAGCTGTTTCAACAGGTGAGCCACGTTTGTAAAAAAATAGATAGTGAAAATCGCTGGCTCGAAATTCATTTTAGACCTATTGATTGTTTTTTGAGCTCTAGGCCGAGGGTAAATAAAACAATTGGATGTCTTATATTCCTTCTTGTTTATTACTGTCACTGTGTGTTTGTGACTGTGCAAATGATAAATTAGGCGTTTTGGTAAAGAATATTCTCGCAAGAATTTAACATATAATTACTTGCGAGATATTTACGGAAGATCCTTTAAACAAAAATTTTGTTCTAAAAAATTGTGTTTGAAGGACAGTTAAATTTTAAAACGTAGATCTAATCACGCCACAGCTACATACTTTTTTGGTTAGTCGCGCGTTGCCTCGTTGTCGCCAATACATCAGAGTACGTGTTAAAATAATTTGACATCTGTGGTCCGAAGCCCGTCGTTTCCAATTTGTTTTAAGCTTGAGGCGCAATAGAACGCACAACTATGATGAGTTAAGTTTTGTGACTTTGTTAGAATGCGGCTGGAAATTTTTAAAATAAAATGTTAAAGTGAAAAAATAAAGCTTTCACTAAATTTGATCGTGGCTTTATTGGTAAACGCTGTGAGGTGTGAGTTCCTATTGAGTCTCTTATCTAGTAGTACGCCTTGATATTTCTGGTATTTCCACTAAAGTCACACAGTGAGGAATGAAACTTAAGGAATTTTCTAGTTAATCAATGTATTTAAAAATTGGGACAAGTGTGGCTTTATTTATATATGTATGTATAATTAGATAGTCTTGTCCTTTCAATCAATTTCAGAACTTTATTTCGGCTAATTTTCGCCACTTGTGATTAGCTGCTGGCCCATAGTGCTGTGTTTGTTTGTACTAACTTAACACACAGTTTTAATTGTTTTACTAAATCTATTTAATAAATACTGAGCAATATTTACAATTTAAACAAATACTATACACAGTTCTTAATCGATCGCGATTCGTTAGGAAGCTAAATTATTTACTTATCAAATATAATCGATCATAGCCGTTATTATTTCAAAAGCATCACGTGCCGTTGGCTCTATAGATGCGCTGGGCAGCAAGTAACCGTGCACTCCATTGTCAGCCAGTTGAATAGTGAAGCTGAAGGGTATACCAACTTCATAGGCGGCAAAGGCATCGGAACAACCTGTTTTCAAAGTAGCGTAAAGTCAAGAGAATTGATGAAGTAATGCAAAAAACATTTCCTGTTGACATACATACATGCATACATGAATGCTGCATGCATATTAGGGTGGTCCAGAAAGTTTAAAATGACAAGCCCTCACCCCAAAGATTTTGCTATATGAAATAATAATACCCATATTTTTTGTTAAAAAAATATATTGAAAAATGCCTCAAACCCTATGAAATTTTCCATGTATGTATTTTATATGGGGAAAACGCTTTTTCGCTGGAGAATTCTTGAAAATTAATATTTTTGGATTGGACGCTTCTGCTTACGAGACTTTCAGTAACAAAACCCAGTTATTTGTTTAACTATTTTTTAGTATTAAATATTTTTATATGTAGGTCCCCTAAAAACCACAAAAAGTGCAAATGGGGGAACCGTAAAAAAACCCTTGTATATAAAAATGGTAAAATAAACAATTGGGTATTATTATTGAAAATCTCATGAAGAGACACAGAGTTTTCGATTACAAAATATTGTGAAATCTTTGCCATTTCTACGGAAAAATGTTTTTCATTATTTTATTTGTAGAACTTTGAGCGCTTTGAGACATTTTCTTTACCAAAAAAATACGGTTATTTTTTATTCCATTTAGATAAATCCTACGGGATGTGAGCTTAACCTTTAAAAAAAAATTTTTTGGGCCACCCTAATGCAAACACAGGTGTGCATAAAAAATGTATTATATGTATAGTTATTTACCAGAGCGATTTTCCACCAGATCACTAGTTGAGTCAATTTTATAGCGTGATTTGCTGCCTCGCTTACGCAAGCCATCCGTTCCCACCATTGCCACATCGAGAAAGTCATCAATGCGTTCGGCGTTGAACGAAGTGTTCGCTTTCAAGGGATATGAAATAATTTGCCCATATTGTTGCAATGAAATGTAGAGCTAAGCAAAGTAAAAAAATGATTTTAAGAATTTTCAATTCCTTTTTGCGATGTGACTTACTTTAATCTGCTTGCGATAATCAATGAGAAATTCGGATAGCGCCTTAGATTCGGGTTCCGAAAACGGCCCTGGTCCGGCATACAATTCATTACAGGGCGATTTCGAGCTACCCCGCTTGCCCCACTGGTAGTGCCAATTACGATCCAAATCCACGCCATAGCAAACGCGTGTTGCTATTTTCTTTTGCTGCAGCCATGTCATTGCTGAATCGATGATTCCATTGCGTCGAGAGATATGTCTTGAGCGCGTTTTTCGCCAGAAACGATCATACTTGTGACTATAAACGTAGCCGTCCGGATTGAGAATGGGCATAAAATACCAGGTAGTATTTTTTATGTATTCATTGTCTATGGTTGTCTCTGTGGGGTAAAGGAATGTGTGAAAAATAATTTTTCAAGGAATATTTGCACTGTACTTTGAATCCATTTTCCCTTGACCAAAAAAAGGAACTCATTCATCTGTGCCCAGACAAATTTTTGGGCTATAATTTTCTCCTTCTTGCAGACTCTGGAACTCAATTCCACAAAATTTAAGGCCGTTTTCTAATGTAACCTTTAATTGAAAGCTCCATATTATATTTAAGATTGCAGTAAAATGTATAGTTGTGCCTGAAGTAAAGCATTTCTATAATCGGGTTTTGACGTATGTATGTTTCTTGGCTGTAAACCAATCTAAAACCGACAATCAAATGCTTTAATTTAGACGCAACTATAAATTTGAATGCAACCGTTAAATAAAAAGTGAGCTTTGAAATTAAAGGTTACATGAGAAAATGGACCTTAGTGGATCGCTTTTTGTTGTAGCACTAAAGCCCGTTTTCCCAGTGCGAGTTCACTAGTTATTTGGCAGTTAACTTTCAACTTTAGTACTGAAAATCGAGAGTTATTTACAAAGTTAATTCTCCATTGTTAAAAAATTCGAAACCTGTATTACTCTTCCTAAAATCGCCTTGCTTGAACAACTTTCATCACAGAACCAATGGATCTACCCAGGCGAATCGAATTCGCCTTGGGATTTACGATGAACTGCGATGTGAAACCAGCAGAACGTACTGAGAAACTCTCTCAAGAGTCTCTCGATAATACTTATTGAAAACTTTTCGATTTAGCGCGAATTGCAAAGCTCCTTTCTAAGGCATAGAGTAGATTCTGCGGTGGTAAAGTAAATTGATTCAATGCTCACATGGAATTCGCTCACATGGAATTCGCGATAAGACCGATTATATTATCGAAAGGTGAGATTTCTGGAATTGAGCCTGCACTGTAAACATATCTTTGCAGCTGATTTTCCAGCGCAATACCTTTCACAGTTAAGAGTTAACTCGGCTGTTAATTGTAGATATTCAGTACAAAAATTTTAAGTTAAAATTACCCTAAATTGGTTCAGCTTGTCAAGAGAAAGAAATAATTCCCGCGGCTGTTATCTCCGCTCCATGTTGGCAGTCAGGGTCACATCGTTTTCACACAATTTTTGCATTTTCATTGGACCTTTTTTTACGTAGCGAGTCCTAAGCCCAGGGTACAATCCATTCATGGAAGGTTTTGAAGACGATGCACATTTAGAGAGAGACCCTGAGTTGACTTCAGTAAGCCCTTTAACATAGTAAATAGTTACTTAGTCTACGGTTGATGCCCGCTTACTCAGACTCATAAGCTCGGCGATTTATTGTAGTATGAGGACTGTGATGAACAGTCTCCATTTGCGTTAGTTGCGCTTTTCTACACACTATCCAGTAACACCTACTTGACATTTTAATAGCAGTCCAAAAGAGAGAAACGTCGAAATCACTTGTTGACAATGCCTCTTTGAATATATCGTCGCTACCAAGGTACATTGAACAGGTAGTATCAGTAGAGCAGCTGATTTGATTTATTTTCAAATTATTTGGTCTCGAAAATGTCAAATATTTTTAATCTTTTCTCACAAAAATTCTGAATTGTTAAAATCCATTTGCATGTGAAACCTTTTTCCATACAAAACAAGCGATTGAATAGCAGCTTTTGGAACGTTCGCCCAACTCAGCAGCACAACCGCTGACTACTGGCCCTTGTAAAGGATGGATCAATGCTTCGAGAAGCAAACAAATTTACTAGGAAAGAAAGTTGCATCAATTTTTATTTTTTCCAATTTCAATTTTTTATTTTTTATAATTTTTTGTATTTCACATGGCACGCTTTGATTTAGAAGAAAAAATTCAGAACAGTTTTTGACACTTTCGATACCAGAAGCAACAACAAAATACACGCAAATGTTGTTTTTGCTCTACTGATACTACCTGTTTAATGTGCCTTGGTCGCTACCATGTCAAACTATCGAATGTGCAAAAAAGGCTTTTCAGTTACGATACCTTGCACATGCGTTTAGAATGATACGCACGTTGGCAAATCGTCAAATTTCGAGTCGGGAAGCAGAGGGCGACCAAAAGTGGCCTCGCCGTCAACCCCAGTAAAAACAGAACTGGTCTCTTATTCACAAGACAATATAAAATCCCCGCCACTGTTCTTTCCTCGGTTGGAGGTCTGCACTTACAGCTGTCTGACAGGGTCAAGTACTTGGGCTTGATCCTAGACAGGAAGTTGACGTGGGGGCCAATCATCGAGGAAAGGGCAAGAAAGGCATCAGTGGCCTTGTATTGCAGCAGAAGAGGTATTGGTAAGTGATGGGGTAACTCCCCTAAAGTTTTCTATTGGCTCTACGAGACCTCAGTTAAACAAATTATGTTCTATGGCGCCCTAGTCTGGTGGAAGTCATTGGAAAAGTCTACACTAGTTAGGCAGCTGGAACGCGTACAACGGGCTGCATTAATTGGTATTAGGGGGGCACTGCGGACCGCCCCCACATTAGCATTGAACGTAATGTTAAACGTAGCGCCTGTCGACGTTGCAGGCAGAATTGTCGCCGCGCGAACGGCTATTAGACTCAGGGAAGCCGATTGGTTGACCAACTTAGAGACTGGACACTCTGAAGTTTTAGGGGGCTTCGATTTCATACCGAATCGTACGGATTACTGCACCACTGATATGGCTCCTAGGAGCTTCTTCTCTGTTCACTTTCCCTCAAGGGTTGAGTGGGCCGGGCGGGACTTCTGGAGGAGGGGTGCGGTGAACTTCTTTACGGATGGATCAAAACTTGACGGCAGGGTTGGTGGAGGGGTCTTCTGTCTTGAGCTCTCCATCAGCACCAAGTTCAGGCTCCCGGACTTCTGCAGTGTATTCCAGGCGGAAGTAGCTGCTATCAAGGAGGCGGTGGATTCACTGCTAAGGAACGTTATAACAGTCAGGGCAGTGAGCGTATATTCTGATAGCCAAGCGGCTATCAGGGCCTTGAGTTCGTTAGAGGTGCGCTCTAACTTGGTTAGGGAATGTTTGCTCTATCTTTCGGCCGCGTCGGAATACTTCTGCATTAGGCTTATTTGGGTTCCGGGTCACAGCGAAATTGGGGGGAACTGCGTGGCTGAAGAGCTGGTCAGGAAAGAAACCCGTGAAACGTTATCACCGGATAAAGAGAGGCTGGAGTTGCCATTGATCACTTGCGGTACACTCATGGATAGATGGGCCCCATGTCAGCTCAGCGAATGCTGGGCGAATACCACGACATGCGCGATCGCAAAGTCCTTTTGGCCGAAGGTGGACCGGGGGCGGTCGAGGGCACTTCTCACACTCCCAAAGCCACCGCTCTCACTTCTGGTGGTGGTCTTAATGGGTCATTGTCCTATCGGCATTCACGCAGTAAAGCTGAATATTCTACCGGACCCCTTATGTCGCAGTTGCCTGGACGAGGTAGAATCACCGCAACACTACCTTCTTTGGTGCCTAGCGTTTGCGAGACTAAGGTTGAAGTACTTTGAATCTCACTTTCTAAATAGCGCCGAAAAGCTCTGGGGCACTGAGATGAGCCGCATTAGTAAATACATAATCGGCTCGGAGCATTTTAGTGATAAGGTTTAGGGGGCCGTTCCAAATTGTGGTATCACAACGGATAATCTTATATTGCCCAAGTGAGCTCCGATTACACGGGGCTGCCACCTTACCTAACCTAACCTAGAAGCAGAGGATACTGGCTTTAACAAAGTGTCGAATGCTACACCTATTCCTAACGACAGCAACATTTTCTACAACAGTTGTTTTCGCTCTCCTGTAAAGTACCCATTTTCATCTTCGATAGTTTGACATTCTAGCGACGATATCTTGGGTTTTGCGTTTTCGTTTTTTCTTGCATGTTTTTCACACCGGGGCAAATGTTCTCTTACTTTTAGAAACTTGGTTACCGGCAAGTACCTTGGTAGTTTTTTTTTACCGGAGAATACGAATCATCCTTTAAGCAACGTGTAGACCGGAGGCGGTCCAGGGAGCTCTTGAGAATAAGCAAGTTATATCTCTCGTTATTGATGGGAGTTTAAGTGATCATTGCGTGATACTTAGGTAAGACTGCGGTAAGGTGGAATATCATCGATGACCCTTACAGAACCAGCTGCATGGTAAACGATGAGGATGAGATGGAATCGTCTCAAAACCTGCATCCTGCCTTTACGAGAAAAAGTTTAAAAATCAGGGGCCGCACTTCTTCCACAGTAGTAGCACAAATATTGAATTTTTCCTTTGCGTTTGTTAAACTTTTTCAACAGGGTGAGAGTTCGGAGAGCGAGATATTAGGAATAGCCAAACTCGTTTCAAAATGTGTACATCAAAACTTATACATGTCCATGAACCAAACAATTCTATAATCAAGCCGTTTATTTTAAAAGTGGCATAAGCCATTTCACGCCGTTTGACTCAGTGATCATTTACTGGTATCTGAACGCGTCTCTTATTCGTTCAACTTCATCCGCCAAAGATAAAAAGTTTTGTCATTAATATATGACGGTAGAGTGATTTGCAGATGCACTCAGTTCGAAGTAACTAAAAATTTAAGCACCAGAAGTATGCAATGACTTATGCCACTTTCAAAATAAACGGCTCAATTCGTACAAATTGCTTGTTTTTTTTCTACTTACTATTGCTTTTAATCAGCCGCAACAGTTCACTGATCATCCAGAGCGAAGTGGCCGGTCCAATCCATTCGAGGCCATGTGTACCCGACTCAATGAACACTGAATTCGCCTCCTTGGTCTGCTTTTTGCTATTCAACTTTTTCTGTGCCACTAGCGTTTGACTAGCAACACTGGCAGCATGATCTTTCGATTCAATCTTCACCACTACCAATGGCCGGCCTTCGTAGGAGCGTCCAATGTGTATTAATTCGATTAGTTGTGGGTGGCGCATGCGTAACATTTCCAAATGTGTTATAATATCATCATATTCATAGTATTTATGCCATGACATGGTGGTAAGTGCTTGCTGCTGATGCTTCTGCGGATATTTTTTATTCTTATGCATGACGGCATTAAAGTGGAACTGCTCTTGTGCCTGCTCGTAGGCAATTGCTTTGCCGACATCATAAATAAGCACCTCATGCGCAATCGATTCAAAGCTAAGACTGGCTTCGAAATCTAGCAATTGTTTTGGTGGCACCAGCACATCCGTTAGACCTCTGTTGGTACAATAAAGAGAATATTAACTAGTGATATAAAGTTTTAAAAATGCTTTTTTTTTGCGCTCACCTTAAACTGGGGCCCTTTAGCCATTGGCCCTTTATGCCATCTTCACTTTTCTTGTACTCCTCCAAGGCATGCACCTGTGTATCGTCTATTGGCTTTAGTCGCCAAATCTGATATCTATCGTATGTTACTTTACGTGGCACATCCGGATTGACCGTGGCTTGTGATATTGCATTCATAAGTGGATTTTGCGTGACTGTTGAAGCGGTGGCATTAATGATGTGATGTGCCAAAATGCCAATCCAATTTTGTGGATTTTTTAGTGGATCGACAATTGTCAAAATTGGTACTTGTGCGGCTGGTGTATGCACTGTGGTTGTAGTTGTGGTAGTCTTGCGTCGACGTCTCGGTTTCGAGTCAAACCAACCGAAGAACCATTCTGGCGATTGAAGGGAAAAGTAAAGTTGAATGAGCGGAGAAGAGAAAGCGTAACAATACTATAGGCTTAATGACAGCGTTTAAGATAATTACGTATATTACATATGCGCGTACATTCGTTCATTCTTCCATTGAATCAACAAAAAACTGTATAAGTTGTTACTCTTTTTTCTCATGCCTCACTTTTAATCTTTATTTTCCGTTAAATTATATTTTTGGGCAAATTGTGTCACCTGTTTATTGTTGCTAAAATTGTGTGTTGGTTTTGCAATTGAAAGTTTAATATTTTTTTTGCAATTTCAATGGGAATGAGTGGTTACTATGTGTAGTTAAATTGCTCCAAGAACTCCTCTATTAGTATTATAATTTTTATTATTATTATACAAAACTGTGTTACAAAAAACTTCTCCAACAGCTTATGTGCTGATTTTCACACAAAAAAGTACTTTTTTTAGAGGATGAACAAACAACAATTCATTTAGACCATATATATATATACATTAGGGTGCCCATCGACATTTTTTTTAATTTAAAGACCCTACCCCCTCATTTCCTTCCCTTTAATGAGAAATTGCAATTGCCTAGTTTTATAGATTTTTTAAAAATCATTTAGAGGTCGCGACGTGTCATTTTTGGTCAGAAAGTACGGTTTTGTAGATTTATCAGTTTTTGAATGACTCGTTTTTATTAAATTTTAAAGGTCGAACATGTTGTGAAAAGAGTATTTATAGGCTTTTAAAATGAAAATTTTTTCTTAACTTTTTAAGTTTTGATCATCACTTATTTCTAAAATTACAAAATACATTTGTAGTACTATCTAAAATTAAATCTATTTTATATTTTTTTATATCAATTTTGAATAAATATTGATGAATTCCTTATAGGCGGCATACACGGTGCGTCTGACTCGCGAGTCAATTGTGTACGTGTAGACTCGCCTTCGACTAAACACAGTTGAATCATTCAGAGTCATGCTGGGAGTCATGTTGGTGTAACTAACACATAATTATTTTCACAAACACATCCAAACCTACTCACGGGTCAGACGCACGGTCTATTAGGATTATTTCAAGTATTTGGCGTGAGCGTCAAGCACTTACATCTTTAAGGAGAGGATAAATTGCCATTATATAATATTTAGTCTCTTAATCCCTTTTTTAAATTGAAGTAAAATAATAGCACAGGTATAAAGTGTTATTTCAGCTAAGAGTATTAGCCACCTCTAACTTAAAGCAATCTGTCAAAACCCATGGGTAGTTCAGGTTAAATAAATCAGCTCTAAGCGATTACCGCCAGAATTTTAAAGAAATGGTTTGGAAATTTTGTACGCGGTCATAATTTGAATTAACCGACCGGCTTAAAATTATGATTAGTTTGCGAACAGTGCAAATTGTACGAACTCCAATTTTCTTAATGTATCCCAATTAAGTGAATATATATTAAATAGAGTCACTTTGGCCAAATGCTCGTGAACAAAAACAAAAAACAAAAAAACAATGACTATTAGCAAAAGGTTCACAGAATTAAAAAAAGGCGGAAGTTCACGCAAATTCCTCATTACTTAGCTCCTAAGTGAACAAGTTTTTTGAACTGGATAAAGGAAGTTATCAAAAGACAAAAAAAAAAAAAAGTAGGAAAACGAACAAACAAGCCACTTTCCACTTCAGCTGAGTGATTCATAAACTTGGTCAGTGGCGTGCACATTTAAAGTAAGAGTGTGATAATTTCTCACAATCAAATTGTCATAAAGCCAACCGCACAAGCGGACACCCATAGCTGCAGCAACAATTATGCATCATGAGCGCTTAATTTGTTTAACACTCAAGCACGCACACATATACACAAACTCTTACACGAATACACAACTTTGCATTTAATACTTTTACTTACTATCATTTGCACTAGCATCCTCCGGCATGCTATCGGTTGTCGTTGTCTGGCTTCCAAAACCGAACCACGATTCAAGCCAGCTTGGCGGCTCTGTAGGTGATGGTGACGGCGGCAAAGGTGTAGTGCTACCAATATTCTTCGTTCGCCTATTAAAACCAAACCACGAACTTAACCAACTAGCTAAGGAATTTGATTGTTCCTCCTCTTCCTCTTCAATACTCTCAATCGGCTGTATGCCATTGTGATAAGTGGTGTAGGTGGGATATGAATATTGTTCCTCATCAGATTCTTTACTGACAAAATTATCTGCCATACCATTCATTAGCACTTGCACAGGATAGAAGATCATACGAAAAAATCCACCAATACCGCCAACCCCTCCACCGTCTTCGTAGTCATAGTCTTCATAAGATGCTGAGCTATCGCTGGAAGTTGGACGTCTGCGTATGCGTTTTTTGCTTGCTGCCTTGGTGTAGATGCTTGGTTTTTTCGTAGTCGTAGTCGTGGTGGTGGTGGTGGTAGTTGGTGGACTAGTAAGGCTGTTTTCCTCCGACTCGATTGCACCAAAGTCGGCACCCGGCTCAGCTGAACTGCCATCATTTATTATTATGGAGTTGGCTGGATGATTAGTTAATTCAGATGTTTCTGACGTTTCATCAGTATAATCTTCTGCTTCTTCGAAGCTCTCAGGATCTTTCGATTCCTTGTGATTTTTATGCCGCTTGCGTTTTTTCGTTTTCGTGCTGCTAGTAGGCTCGAACTCATAGTAAGACCAATCCTCGTCTTCGTAGGAGCCAGCATTGTCGTCGTCCTCTTCATCATCTTCGCCATCGTTGCGGTCTGCAGATTCCTCATCATCGTCGTCTTCGTCTTCATCGTCACCAAAGTCGAAGAGATCGAACTCACCCCTTTTTTCAACTTTTTCCTTCCTACGCCTTCTCTTGCTTTTAGTTTTTCTTTTCTGCGCATTATTGCGGGAAGTGCTGAGCGCTATTGACGGTAACTGCGTTGTCGCATCGTAGTTCACGGTGTGATTTGTCCAAGCTGGCTTTATGGCTGTATCATTTCTGCTGTTTGTTGCATTATATCCTCTTTTGTGCTGCTTCAGCACATCCCAGTTGGTGCGATTGAATGCACTATTGGTTAAGGGATTCATTTCGGTGTAATTCCCAAGCTTCGATTGACGTTTTCTCACTCTGGCCCGTTTTGCAGTTCTTGTTCTCGCTGTGACTATTTTTGCTGCCATGCTTTTGTCTTTCACCTTTTCCACTTCATGAATCGAGTGCAAAGCCGCCGGATCCTTAAGATACTTATCGATTATTGTCACATTCTGCGCGTGATCCGTGTAAGCGCGTATGTTAGTCACAGAGCGCTTACGCACCTGATGCTCCTCAGACTGGTCGCTTTTCGCTGACAAACTCGTCAGTATAGCTTCCGTGGATTCAATTGGACTCTTGCTGAAAACTGTTTGCGTGTAATTTGGCTTCTCCAGTTGGGTGGCGACTTGTAGCTTCTCGGTGCTTGTTTGCGGCTTTGGCGTTGATACACGCACACCTTTGATTATTTGCGGCAGCTCATTACGTGTGACAGTTGGCTTTCTTCCGGGTCTATTTGGCTTCTTCTTGTTCTTTCGCTTGACTTTGGGTTTATGCTTGCGCGTCGGCAATTGGACCTGATCGCTGATTGTCAATTCGGTTTGTACTGTAACAGGTGGCGGTTTATTAAGATGACCGGGTAACTTAGCGATCGGCAACTTGAATGTCGACGGCTTTTGTAGACGTATTATTTGAGGAGGCGTTGTGGTATGCGCTATCGTGACTGTGCTATTACGCTTAGGCAAATGTTTTACTGGTACAGACTGACAGCTCTGTTCGTAGTACTTGCGTTGCAAATATAAGTCACGCTCGTATTGCTCCTTCGAGACATAAAGCGAAATAGTGCTGTTAGCAGAAGTAGGCTTACTAATGTTATGCGGCACGCGTCCCACTTCAGTAATCGCATAGATAATGCCAGTGACTGGGTTGGAAAAATATATGGGAAACTGCGTGTCGGTATGGTTTTTGTAGAAACCGCCAAAACTTTGATTAGCCTGAGTTGGCCGCTTTGGTGACTCAGCCGAAGTGGCAATTTCGATAACGCTACTTAGCGTTTGCTTATTAGGACGTTGCGGTCTTGATGGCTTGGAGTTAGGCGGCCTTGTTTGTGGCTGCAAGTTACTAAACTTTAGCACTCCTGGCAGGTCTGCAGCGTTTACTTCGCCCGCAGCTCCATCACCATCCGCATCCTCATTTTGCTCGCTACTGAACAAATGAAAACTCAAACTCGAGCCTACAGCATTTCCCTTCAGCGCATGCGCTGCCGCAGCCACACTGGGCGATTCATAGCGATGTTGCTGTGGTCGACCGATGCGCTGCACATGTCCTGGCCATGACGTCACCTGCTTCGTTGCCGTTTGTGACTGCTCTTTGTCGTAGTTGTATTTTGGCACAAACTTCTCGGCTACATCTCGAAACGGCGGTTTTGCGTTCCACGCGCGCCGGTGCTCGTTGGCTAGCAAATCGCGCGTCCACGTACGTTGCGTTTCGCGTAAGAAATTATCGAATTCCTCGGCGCTGGGATGATAACCAAAATCGTAAGCGTGCAAGCCGGATATGCTGGCCAGCAGTAATTTGAGCATGAGTAACTTTGTGACCACGAAAAAGCATAACATTTTTTTACTGTTTTAATTAAAACGTTTTTAGTTAAAGGCTTAAATATTTCGATTTCTTAAATTTGAACTACTTTCACTTTCGTTCTGCTCACAGCAAGGATAATCATTCCTCCTACATGCACCCAATCATTTTATGCGAACATTTTCTTCACCAGCATTTTAAAAATATATTCACTTGGTCACTTTTTATTAGTTTTTTATTCAATGTAAGCATTTTCCAGAGCACCACCTTTCGCTTCACCGTTTCACATGCGAATAACGCAAACACGCAGAGGCGAAGTGAAATTCAGCTATCACAGCAGCAGTCCGCAGCAGTTGTTGCCACAAGTCACACTCGTCGCCTCCTCTCACACAGTAGCACATACGTATATACTTGCAAACATAAAAAAACACACGTCTTTGCGCATAAGTTGTTAACTAAGTATTTAACCGGGTGAACTGCAGAGGGTTCATTCGCCAACACACGCCAAATATGTATGTATGTATGTAGTATGCCCCAAGTGCTTGGCTTAGAAGTCTAATGGCAGTCGGTTGATGGCACACGCCAATTTGAATTTTAACGTCTCACTGATTATGCGACTCGAAACCCGCAAACAGCAAATACACGCTGTCACAATCTTCGCCGATATGAATCGAACCATTACAAATTGTTGGATCTAATCACAGTGCTGTGCTGGCGTAGTGGTTAGGCTCCGTCGTTTTCGAAGTTCTATTTTGTTGCTGTGACCTGGCAACTAGAAAGTGATCTTATACCCAATGTGGATACATATTTATCTGTTAGCTCAATTAATTCGTTGCATTAAATAATTTTTATGGACCCCAATATCATAAACTTTATCAGCTGGATCCCGTTGAATATTTTTGTTTAGAAAATAACTCAGTCAGGCGTTAAAAATAGGACCTGTTATGCAAATCCTTTGAAAGAAAAACTAATCTGTCTTAGATGTAAGTATTCTCTTTTTCATTGGCTTACAAAAGAGTAAACAGTTAGATACGTGAGGAGGTATGCTACATATTTTGCGGAGTGGGGGGCACACATAGCACAAGTCTTCCACTTCCCTGAAAGGTTAAAAGAGCTTTTGAAAGCAGCGACTGTATGTACAAACTCACTGGCCACATTGAGCCTAAACCCTTCCGTAGTCGCCTCTATACGCTCTCACATTCAAGGAAGCTGTAATAGTGTCCCTTTAGTTGAGTCGAAAAAGCGACAAAGATCATCTCAGCAGCAGTGAGATTATGAAAATCCCTACGCTAAATTTCCATCGCCAAAACTCTCTAAATGAAGATGAGTGCGGCCTAAAAGTACGCAACATGGAAAAGTAACATATGCAGTGTGTAATCAACCAAAGCTGACAGCAGAGAACGTTTATAAATGAGAAGGGGCAATTCCAGTGTGAGATTTGGGGCGGCAAAAATTTAGAGTTGTGCGAGTCACAGCGAGCCAGAATGCTCGTTGCCACCACACCGAAGATTTTCAATTCTACCACTCGTGAGACTGAATTTACCATAGTTTAAAGCAAAATGAAAATAAGAACGAACACGAAACGAGAAACAGAAATCCAATAAGCACTAGACAGAGGTGATGCTTGCGGAGGCAGGCGCGTGCTTGTGTCGGATGAAAACAAAAACAAACCAACAACCACAAACAAAGAATACAAATTAAAAAAAATGTATATATATATTTTTCATTCCAAATTACCTAGCATATACCATTCTCCGAGAATTCCTATCCAAACCTAAACCTGAAGTCCAAACCGATTCGCATTCGATACGCACCGAGGGACGGCTTGGCTGTTGGAGTTCATAACGCTTAGTCGTGTACAGAGTGCTTTGGCTATCAGGCGACCTTCGGAGCTACTCAGCCTTACAGCGGATCTTTGCTCTCGGGTGTAAGCTCAATGCCCGCGGAACAGATGATGGCGGGCCGCTTGTGACGATAATAGCATCCAACACGAGCTAGGGCCAGAGTATGCACCCCGGGCATACCGTCGAAGTTAGTGGAAATCTTAATTATGTGGTAAGACTTTAACTCACACACAATTGGAGTGGTCAATAGGGAACAAACGGAGGCGCGATAACACAATAGTGGTATTCACCAAAGTGAGCAAGTGGCCTGGCAGTCTGGCAAAAGGGCAGATCAGCTCAAGCAACGATTGTTGTCCACAATATGAAATAAATATATTTAAACACAACTTGCTGTTCAGAAACCTACCACCTGGTTGCCTATAGAATGCGTGGTATCATTTTAAGGAGTTTGTTTTATTTGATAGATCACGTCAGCATTGTAGGACTTTCGGCTTAACTCTGAGCTATTTCATCCGAAAAATTTCGCACTTTTTATGTATTTCTTTTAAACGCCAATTAATTTGCCTCGGGGTATATATGTACCTGTATTATGGAGTACATCTAAAGACGGAAAATTGTAAACACATTGGGTATACTTAGAAAGTTGCGATCCACTTACAAAGTCATAGCTTTTCACTTTTTTTAGCGTTCGTTCGGGTCTTAGCTACATAAATTTGGAAAAAACACAAGTTGGTTTCAATTTAAATAACATACACTTACCAGTTTTTTATTCACTTAAATAAGATAGGCTGTAGAATATTTATAGACTGGCAATACTTAAATATTTTGCGGTTTTGTGGTTTTCTCAAAAAGCCTATGATTTTATACGCCACTTCACATTTACTTTTGCCTAAGCACAAGTCTGCAATTTCTTTCGGTTAAATTATTAGATTCACAATTTGTAGTTGTAATCATAAAAATATAGTCTTCTCGTAAATCGTTTTCTTCGAGAGCGTAACCGTTGAAACACAATACCGGCGAACGGCAAATTTTCGCGCAGTAGAGCGACGACGGCAGTAACTTTCGCCCAAAAATTTCGCTCAGTAAAACACAACTACGGCGACAACGAATTCGCCTATGACAAGGTCCAATTAAAATTTTTACAAACAACAAGATTATTAATTTTTAACAAAAACTAATATAGGGTTTTTCAATTTGGATTCAAAAACCTCAGAATATTTAACATAAGGCCACAATGGATCGCATTTTGCCGCTGCCGCCAGCAACGACAATAGAAATTAGTCTATCGTCGCGAACGTCGTCGCTTGTTTTGGTTGTGCGCGTTCTCATATACGACAGCGAAAATTCGCAGCGAAAAATTCGTCGTTCGCTGGCATTTTGTTTCAGCGGTTTCGCGCGCGCAAGTTTAACATTTCGAGCTAACGCCACGTGGAAGTTTGTTTGTTGTGGTAGCATACGATTTTGCTAGTGTTTGTAGTTTACTTGAGGCTCCTAGACGAAACTAGAATCTATTGCAAATGTGGTGTACTTTACCTGTTACAAAATCATGCATATGAGGCTAGTAGTTAGCTTTTAAATTACATATCTAGTCCCTGGTAAATGAGTGAAAAGTCTCTTTTACTTACATACCTATTTAAATAAGAAAATATAAAGTGAATGCACGGTTATAACAGAATAAGCGACACTACGGCCTAAAAGGTCCTTGGTATCTCTAAAGATTGTACCTAACCCAGCATGCCCAAGACACCCTCGGCTTCCCTAACCAATCCTAAAATGGAATTGGTGTTCGAGTTCCTTATTTCTAAGGGTTTGACCATTAGAGCTGTGAAATAACTTAATCTTTGTCTAGCCAAGGCTGGAGAGTCACAAAGAATGTGTTCGAAAGTTTCATTTACAGCCCCCACTCCTTCCCCGTACTTACTGCATTTAGCGTGTACCACAGATTGATTCCGGTCGTAAGTAGCCAGTTAAGAATCCTTCTCGCGTCAACTCGTCAGCAACCTCATTGCCCTAAATCCTGTTGCTGTATTTTTCTCTGCCAGAAATGGAAGCCTGTTAAAGCAGGATTTCATTATAAAGTTTGAGAGAGCCAGGAGGGTGTTTGTTTACTTGAAAAGATAACTAGAACTACGCCTTTCAATCCCTTTTCAAGGTTTAATTTGGCGCAGGTTAGAGTTGCGAAAATTTAAGCCTAGAATACTTTAGGTTATTTTTCCATGGGAATTCACAGTTTGGTGCCGGGCCCTAAGCAGCTGCTCTTTCAACCATCCTAAAACCGTCCATATACCAATATGCCTATCTGGAATCGAAAAGAGGGACTCTGTGTGCCCAGTCTTCGTGATCAGCGATTTTCACTTGGAACTTTCTAACGGAGCAGATACCTTTGGTTATGAAGTCAGAAACTCCGAAAATTTACAACCCTACTATCTTCCGTATAATGCCGGCTTGAAGCTTCTTATTGTTTATTGAATAAAAGTATGGAGAGGAGTCCATCCTTGAAGCGTCTCTATATAGCCGCAGTTGAGCAGGCTCTTATCGATTCAGTGGCGGTGAGAAATAGCATTCTTTGAAAGTGTCAATTGTCCTTATTTCCGTTGATCTTGTTACCTATCTCCCTAGACATAAATGAGCAGTGGGATTCCATCTCCCAATCACTCCGTACTGGTGCGGAAAGGATTGTTAATTACAACAATCACGCAGAAACAACAGGTATGATGAAGAGTGCCACGCAGCTGCTGCAGAGATATATGTACACAGCTAACCAACCACCACGCAGCCAATATTTAGCGACGGCTGCAGCAATTGACCGATACCGGAAGAAGAGGTGGGCAGAAAGGCGAGAATGCTAAGAGCTTAAAGTGTTGGCATGCAGGAATGTGAATCGAAAATTGTACATAAGGTAAACATTTAACGGTTCTAAGACCGGGGCTTGTTCCTGCAAAGAGAAAAATGGAAACGCTAACAGCCGCCCAGAGTACACCTGCGATTTGCAGGGAACACTTCCAAAACGTTTTGAATGGTGACACAGCCAGTGTTTTGGGACGAAGACGAAGTGAGAAAACAAATATGAAATGCTTTTATTTATAGATGGAATCGTAGATTTTATATTACATACATCCATAGTTACAATTTTGCATTTCCTTTCTGCTGAACTTTTGTAATTTCTTTTCTTTACTATAGCTTTCACTTTTAACGACATACAAATATAC